CATTTGAGTTATGTCTTTCACAAGAAAATACCTAAAATGTATTACCAACACAGGGGGTGAAGACTTTTGCAAGGCACTGCAATATATATTAAACGTATTTAACATAATGCTTGTTTTTATTCAAAGACTAACAGTAATACAGTTTTATTCCTGCCTTTGTTTTTCAAAGGCATTTTAACCGGATAATATTTTCAATTAAAGTTTATACTGCACCAGTCATTAAATCAGTAATTTGATTTCTTTTGCTTTCCTTGATTTACCATAAGTCTTAATGATACAAATGTTATCACTTTATCATAAGTTGTATTGATATCTAAATATTGTGCAAAGTGTAATATGGCAAACTGGTTCTGATGACAGTATGCAACTAGATCTCTGAAAGTTAAAAAAGTTAAATGTTATAACTGCTATTCAGTGAATGTTTTGCATTAATATAAGATATAGAGGAATAGAAATAACACAAAACATATTTCTCCTTTTTTTGAAAGAATATCCTCTTTTCTACCACAGTCTCTTGGAAAATCCCCTTCCACTTTTGAAACGACAATTTCCCCCCTACTCACTTTCTGTTCATGTCTTTAATATGCGTTTAAACTGGCTGTAATATTTTGCTACTTTATTTTTGCACTAGTAGCAAATTACCATAGGTCATTCCTTTTTTGTGTTAATGAACTTTCCTATGAAAATTATTGTTGGAGAATTCATTAGTCTTTTGTTTTCTATTGACATTTTTTATGTAGTAATTTAGGAATAATCAAGTGACGTGGGTAGCAAATACACTTTGGAAGTACTAACACTATTAAATAATTGCATATAGTTGTTAGTTATTTCAGTCTAGATAACACTTTTTGAGATCCTCCTTCATGCTTGCTTCTGAAATAGAACTCTTGCCAGCTAGAGAGCAGTACAGTCCAACATTTTGTCACTTGTCTTGCTTTGAAAAAGTATAATGTTTGTTTCTATCTCATTCATGTTAGAAATTCAGTTTAACTCTTCCTTATCTCCTATTATTGAAGACATTATGTTCACCTGAAGGTCATCAGTGTACCTGAGAATTCCACAACTCTATAGTGAGTTCAGTGTTTAAATATTATTGTAGCAGTCAATTTCAATATAGATATAATTTTTAGTTTGTCTAGATGTTATTACGTTCATGAAGTACTTGCCACATTGTTTTTAATGGTTATATTTGAAATTATTTTAAAACTTAAAGGGTCTTCCAATCAATCGTTTTTATGATTTTATTTGACTCTGTAGAGACTCTACCAAACAACGGAATTACTAAA